CCTGACGACCCCGTGAAGCAAGAGGGCCTGCTGCCACTGCCTGCCTCGCACGACCCGGTCTCCGCCCTGTAGTTGGAAACTCGTCCCAGGAGAACCGTCTCGCACGAGCTAGTCCCCGCACTGTCGCTGAGACGTGTCTCGCACGAGCCCCGCTGGCAGAAGCAGAGTCCGCTGCCGCATGATGTACAGCGGGGGCACGCATCAAGAAAGCACATGCTTTTCGTCAGGTCACCCTGGGTCTCTTCGCTCCGCGCGCTGCCCGGTGACTTCCCGCAGCCGGTGAAGAAGTTGCTGCGTTCAGGGTGATCCAGGATTCCCCTCAGGTGCACCCAGCGCGCGGGTTTTCAGAGTTGGGTGTCTTGCGAGGGTTTCTTGCGAGGGTTTCTTGTGGTCGCTCCCGCACTGTATTCCTGGCGCTGTAGCTGAGATGAGTCTCGCACCCCACTCCGTGCAGCAACGGATCCCGCTGTCGCTGCCTGCCTTCTCACACGATCTGATCCCCGCACCGCAACGGAAGACTTGTCCCACGAGCTTTCTGCCCGCACGAGCTGACCCCTGCGTTGGATCTGCTCGCTTCGGCAGCTGCTATTGCTGTTGCCTGCCCTCTCACGCTGGCGGAGTCTGCTGTCGCTGCCTGCCTCCTTAACGCTGACAGCCGTCGGTTTCACTGCCTCGTTTTTCGCACGAGCCGCTTCTAGGGAAACGAAGAATCACATAAACATAATACATCGGAGTTCCGCTCGAATTTCTCAGATCGGCGCTGGGGCCCCTTGTTGGCGCTTCTGGCGCCGCCCCTGGCGCGCTCCGCGCGCCAGGGAGGGGGGTACAGCGCAGATCCAAGAAATCCGCGTCGATCTCTGATATTGCTATGTTTATGTTATGTGTCGCCCCCCTATCCCAGCGTTGTAGCTGGTGGTGTTGCCTGCTTTTTATTTCCCGAGCCCCTTGTCCGCCTTAGTAGTTGATGCCGCGTGGCTCGTCCTGCGCCGCTGGCGTAGCCTGGTCTTTTTGCGGCAGCTGCGGACGTTGGGGCTGCGCTTCGTCCTTCGCTTCGGGTGGGTCGCTCACGAAGCAGGTAGGTTTAAGTCGGGCCTGTCCCTCTACAGGAGGAGTATTCAAAAACAGTGAAAGAATAGTCTGAGGACGTTTTGTTTGGTATTGTTAGTTTTACATGAACGGAAGGCGGTCCCCGGTGACCGAGTTCGCTGTGGAGGGTGAGCGGTACGGAGCTATCATGATGGCGGAGCGGAGGATTGCGGAAAGGCAGGCCGAGGACGAGGGTGCCACCAAACGGTTGCGTACACGGTGGGGTCGAGCCTCAACGCTGTAGTTGATGGCGTGGGGATCCATGTTCTTGCATGGCTCATTGGCGGCAGCGCCACCCCTAAGTTGGCCGCCCACACATCGGACACCCCAGTCAGGAAGAGTCAGATGAGGGAGGGGAGGAGAAGAGGAGTATGTAGGAGTAGGAGGAGAAGATGTGGAAAAGGAGGGGGAGGCCCCGCGAGAGGCCCCACCTACAATTGGGGAATGTGTAATTCCTTTCCCTTCCCCTTCCTCCTTCTCCCACTACCACCCTTCCTTCCTCCTTCGAGCTTCGAGCCGTGGGCATGCGGCATGTCTGTTGATCACGACTGGTGCCATCGCACCCCTCCGCCCTGGGCAGAAGCCGGGGGGCGGGGGAGACAACCGAGGAGAAGTGAACGACCGAACGTCCTTTCATTATCCCCCCCCCCCCCATCTCTCCCTTACACGAGCCAGTGCAGCGCATGATTGCGATAATTCCCTGAGGATCGCGCCGCATCGCCGATGCATCGGACCTGATTTGTTTCATGTCGACGTCGCCAATGCATCGCCGACGTCGACGATGCATCGCCACATCGCCGATGCATCGCCGATGAACCGCCGATGTATCGCCGATGCGGCGCGATCCTTCGACCCCATCTACTCCGACCCCATCTGGGAGGCCTCTGTCTGCGCTTCCGTAGCCGCCGAGGCTCGACACTAGTGGGGACACTTCTCCCATTCATTAGAGCCAGGCAGTATTGCAAACATCGCGCATCCATTACCAGTTTGAAACATATCCCTATCCCTATGTTTGGCATCGCCTCACCTCGATGCCGATCTTAAGGATTCCCTCAGTTTCTGAGGGCCTATCCCTAAGATTGTCCTCGCTTTTTGCTCGCCCATCTTAGGGATAGGGATACGTTCGAGGCTGGTTAATCCGCTGCTTGAGAGTTCTATGGTTTCATCGCCCCCTCCCTCTACAACGAAGGGCGCCTTTGGGGGGCGGTCGCGCGGGCGCCCCGAGCAGAGCCCCCACCTGCCGGAGGGTCGGACCAGAGGTTCCCTCCCCCCTCCCCTCCCCTCCCCTCCCTTCTCCCCTCCCCTCTCCCCCTCCCCTCCCTCCTCCCCTCCCCTCCCCTCCCTCCCCCCCATCCCCTCCCTTCTCCCCTCCCTCCCCCCTCCCCTCCCCCCCCTCCCCTCCCTTCTCCCTCCCCCTCCTCCCTTCCCCGTCCGACGGAGTCGGCGTTTCGAGTGCGCAGGCAGCTGCTGGCCGGAACCCAGCGCCTGCGTTGATCGTGTCTTGCCGTCGGTGCGGTGCCTGCGCGTCAGAGCCCCGCCCGACGCAAGGCTTGGAAAGGCCATGTCCGAAGGCCGAGGCCGGCACCAGTTCTTCGGAGCAGCTCGGGCGCTTCCGCAGAGTGTGGATCCCACACTGCAGGCGCGGGGCTCGTGAACTGCGCAGCCTGTGGTGTCTCCGAGGAATCGCGGCAGGCCTTGGCCCCTGTTGCCGCCGCTTTCGGCGGCAACCGGATTGGGGGAGGGCCGATCTGGGCGGATGGGGTAAGGTTCGTCGTGCTTTCTGCTCTTGGAGCAGCCGTCCTCGCTCTCGGGAGGAAGGCTCTCGAGGGTCGCCATCGCGACGGCGCGGAGGGAATCAAGTTTCGAGTCCTGTCCGAGTCCGATTTTCTCTCGTGGTTGACAGTCTTCGGCCATGCAACTCTCCCGATGCCTTATTGGGATGTACTCCCACTCGGCCACCCAGCCGGCCGATGGCCCCCACATCTGGGCCCTTCCATCCGACCTGTAAAACACAATATCATGTACAGTGGCGTTCTTGTACATGCTCCGCGTGCGGATCATGTATTCAAAATGCAGGGATGTAATACTAAAAACAACGATGAGTTCATGCATACATGTATTCATACACTAATCATGTATCAACATCTGATGTCATTAAACATCCGATGTATTAAAAACTGCCCTGCAGATTATGTTCGCTTGACTTTGGACATCACATCGTCCACGTTGCAAACTGTGTGGCGGGAGTGGGACGGGGCGCGCGCACATCCCGCGCGAAAAGGCCGACTCGCCCCAGCGCCGCGCTCATGTTTCTGGAGAGCTGAGTTTTCGCACGCCACTTCGTCGACGTGCGAGCGGGACAAACATGTATCAGGAGGGGAAAAACACACAGACACAATTGATCGTCGATTCCCAGGAAAATATGGGAAAATATGGGAAGTGGGGGGGGGAAGACAGAAACCCAGAAGTATGGGAAACTATAGGGAATTCTTTTCTTTGTGTGTATTTATTTGTGTGTCCCAGGGCCCCTTCAATGTAGCTTCCGCTCCGACGACGCGCAGACTTCGCCGGAAGGGGGCGTTCCCGTCCCGACGCGCCGTACACCTGTCACTCGCCGGTGTTTGGGGGGCCCGCGCGGGTGGGCGACCTGTCTCCCTCGCCCACGCCCACGCTGCGCAAGTCGCTCGGAAGTTCCCGCGCGGGCGCGGCGCACGGCTCGTTCGCCAAGCTGCAGGCAAGCGACAGCGGCAGCGGGGCCGCGCGAGAGCGGCGGAAACGCCGCTCTCGCCGACGCGCCGCGCAGCTTGGCGGCAAAGGTGGCGGTGCTGCGTCGGCGCGGTGCATACTGCGTCCTCGCCGCGCCCATCGGCAGTTCCGCCAGTCCCGCCTCTGTGTGCGGCCCGGGAGCGGGGCCGCGCGCGAGAGCCTTCCGTCTGCGAGGTGGGAGCACGTTTCTCGGAGGTTGACAGACCTCCTACCTTGACGCGTCGATCAGTGAATTGGCCGCGTTCGGTTCGCGAGAGGCGTCGCGGCCGTTACTTTTGCGGGTCCAGGTCCGTCGGTTTCGGTCCCAGGCCGATGTCACTAAAGGGAGGTTTACTGAAGGGAGGTTTGTCCACCGCCGACTCCACCTGCTTCTTCTCCTCTTCCTGCATCTCTCCTCCTCCTCCTCCTCCTCCTCCTCCTCCTCCTCCATCCCCTCCTCCTCCTCCCCCTCCTCCTCCTCCTCCTCCTCCTCCTCCTCCTCCTCAATCCCACCAACAAGTGGTGCCTCAATCGATGTCTCTGTTGTGGGAGGGAGGGTGCGCATAGGCGGGGCCCTCAGGCTCGCTCGACCTGGCGACCCACTACTCGTGCCATGCCTCCCCCTCCATTCTTCCCTCCTCTCCTGCTGCCTCCCCGCCCCCTCCTGCCTCCGCCTCCTCCTTTTCTCGGGGGTGGACAGAACCCCCAACAGTGACACCTCGATGAGTGAATTGTCCGTTCTCAGTTCTCGAGAGGGCGCCGTGGCCTTTATTTTCCAGGCTTGCGCCCGCCAGGTTTGGGCCTCAGGTCGTTTTCACTAAACCACGTTTTGCTGAAGGGGGGTCTGTCCAGCCCCTGCTGCCTCCCCGTCCCCTCCTGCCTTCGCCGCCTCCTTTTCTCTTCCCCCCTACCTTGGGGGAACAGAAAGTGGCATAAACATAGAAACTCGGAGGTCCGCGCGGATTTCTCGGGTCGGCGCTGGGGTCCCCCGGCGGTGCCTCCGGCGCCGCCCCTGGGGCGCTCCGCGCGCCAGGTAGGGGGGTCCAGCGCCGATCCGAGAAATCCGCGCGGACCTCTGAGCTTTTGTGTTTATATTACTGTTTGTTCTCCTATGCCTCCCCTCCTCCTCCCCCTCCCCCCCTCTCCGGGGCTCGCTGCCACCCTTGCAGGACGTCGAGGCCGACGACGAGGGCCGCCTGCCCAAGCTGCACAGCCAGCTCTGGCTGGCGATCTACAACCTCGTGATGGACGTCAGGGGCAACGCTGCGGGGGATGGGCTCAGGGGGGGGGATGCATCGGCTCCCAAACGCCAGTTGATCGCCGTTGGGGCATAATGGCACGCCCCCGCCCATGAGCGTGCGAATTCGTATCGGGGCCTATCGCCGATCCGTCGGCGGTGTATCGCCGATTCTAGCTCGATGTGCCATGTTCACCCCCGAGCCAGTCTTCCTTCCATCGCTCCCTCTCAGGACGGCGAGTGCCGCTCGCGGTACGAGCTCACGTCGTTCCGGAGGGAGAACCTGCTGAGGCGTCGCGGCGCCCGGCCCTCCGATGGGCCATTGAGAACCAGACGAGGGGCCTGACAGGGCGGTGCTAGGACACAGTCGGACCGAGGTACAAGATCGAGGTCAGTTCAGGGAGGGTACCCTAGTGTTCTTCGTGTATGTTGGATGCTTCTGTGCAATCTGGGGAGGGTACCCTTGGATGTTCTGTGTTTGGGAGGGTGGAGGGTCTCATTTTATTGGAGGATGTTCTTCTGACGTAGGTCCGACTGTACATCGTACCAGAGTTCAGAAAATGATTAAATACCAACGCGCTCCACGGGCCGGGGAGTAGTTGTACATATCAGTAATTCGTTGTTCCCTCAAGAGCGGCTCGGAACGCTCTGAGAGCGTTCTGGAGCGCTTTGGGACGGCCGCAGCGCCTGATACATCCTCCAGAGCCGCCAGACCTCAGAGATCCCCGATTTACACGAGGGGATACCTTCCCCCTCATTCTTCTGGACCTTCCGCTCTAACCTACCGCCTTTTTATCGACTTGTTTTATTGTGGGCTTCTACGCAGTACGCAATGCTTCCATGAATTCCGATGAGTGTTTCTGCACTTTCCGCGGAGGTCGGAAGGTATGGAAGTGCAGCACAGCCTGCCCAGGACCAGCAGGGCGTATACACATGTAGGTGCGTGTTTTTCTAATTTTACGGCTCAGGGTGTCGCCCCGATTCCCCGTCACGGTCTCTCTCCCCCCCGTCGTCGTCTCTTTCTTCTCTCGTGGCGCAGCTGTGCCAGCACGGGCGCGCGAGCGTGGCCTGGCCGGGCGCATCGCCGAATGGAAGGTGGATGTGGAGGGAAACGGGTCGGGAAGGTGTTCTTGGCGTGTTCGGGAGACCGATCCGGACTATCCATTACCCCCCGGGGCCATGATCGGGGATGGACAGACCTCCTACCCTGACACGTCGATTAAGGAATTGGCCGTTTTCGGTTCGCGAGAGGGCGTCGCGGCCGTCATTTTTGCGGGTCCAGGTCCGTCGGTTTCGGTCCCAGGCCGTTTTCACTCCGGGGAGGTCTACTAAAGGGAGCTTTGTCCACCGCCGACATGAGCAAGTCCTCACGGGAGGTCCCGAGGTTTGGGTCCTGCGGTTCTTTCCAGGGCCATTTCTTTCGTGTTGGCCTCGATTTTCGAAGGCTGAGTCTTGGGGGACTCGTTCCGCCCTGTCGAGGGCGCTTGATTCCAGGCTCCAGCAAGTCTGCTTGCGTATTTTACCCCCTCCTGTTCCGCCGCCTTTTCAAACAGCAGCTCTGGGCTGAGCTGGAGTGCCAGGGGGCCCCGACTGGCGTGGAGCCAATTCCTTTCGTGCCTCGCCACGCCCCCCCCCCCTCCATGTAATTGAGCCTGCCATAGTCTAAAGAACAGCAGTCATGTTCCTGGGCCTCCGGGAGGCTCCTCGCCACCATTACCTCACTTCCCCCCGAAGCCCATGTCAGAGTTCGCTTCGGTCGCGGGTTCGAAGATGGACGCCCGACCTCCCGCGATCTCGGAGGGGATGTCCTAGGATGCAACTTCTTGGAGGTGAAATTCAACATCTGCGCTGTAGTATCCGTGGTCGGAGACCGGCCGAGTCCCGTTGAATCCAGTTTTATCCAGTTTCACCAGGTCTAAGATTAGTCTTCTCCTGGCGCAACGGCCCCACAGGTTGGCGTTATGGACCTTATCGTCCCTGCAATCTAGAGCTCCCATGAGTTGTTGCTTCGTAAGAGGTGTCTCCGTCACTCTCAGTGTCCATCTCGAGCCAATCGACTCGATTGGATAGTATCGAGTTCGACCGTTTGGATTCGCTTCGGCTCCGATATGCCGCGATCCGATGTGGCCCGATGCTTGCATGGCGTTGCTGTGTAACTCTAAGCCTCCCAGATGGGGTCCGAGTATATGGGGTCGAGGAATAACTCCGCATCCTCGATGCATCAGCGATGCGGCTCGATGCGGAGCCCGATTTGCTTCACGCCGACGTTCACCGATGCATTGGCGATGCGGCACGATCCTCCGACCCCGTCCACTCGGACCTCATTTAGGAGGCCTCTAGTATCCTGGCGCGTCCGATTGGATTCCGAGTTCCCGATTCTACGATTTGATTGGTCCTACAATTCAGAAATGTCCTGGGGCCGGCCGGTCACGCAACAGCGCCCGGTGTTGGCGTCGTAGTTGTCGTTGTGAGTAGCTGGTCGTTTTCTCCAGTATGGCAGAAACTAGCTGTTACGCGTTCGATGATGCACTCCTTTTTAAACGCGACCGCAGCGTGTGCGCCGAAGATCACCAGAAGACCACCGAAGAGCGCCTAAGGCCGATAGGTAACACGGGGCCCATGGTTGAAACCATAGCGACAAGCAGTTCCAGGCGAGGATCGAGGACCGAGCATGGAGGCTTCGGCCGGTTTTGACGGTTCTTCGGGGGCCTCTGAAGGCTTCCGGGGGGGAAGGCCTCGGGGGGGCCCCTGGGGAGTGGGCCCAGGGCCTTGATCCCGCAGGACATTTCTCCGGGGGTGGACAGAACCCCCAACAGTGACATGTCGACTAGTGAATTGTCCGTTCTCGGTTCTCGAGGGGGCGCCGCGGCCGTCACTTTCCAGGCTTGCGCCCGCCAGGTTTGGGCCCGAGGTCGTTTTCACTAAACCACGCTTTGCTGAAGGGGGGGTTCTGTCCGTCCCCGAAATTGGGCTCCTGGCATACACGTGCGCACCCGCCCGGCTATCAGGGAGCGTCCCCTGACCTTCCAGGAGGGCTAAAAAATAGCACGCGACTTAAAAACCTATCCCAGAGCTATTCTATGTCTTGGTTTTAGGCTGTTTCGTTTCGTTCTTTAGGTTGTTAGGCCTCCCGTGCTAAAAAATAGCTCTCTGGAAGGTCAGGGTCGGTCGGGTGGCCAGAGGCGGCCCTGAGTCTCAGTGCGGTCGCTGCATGTCGGCAGACCTCGGCCCAGGCCCGGCTCACAGGGGGGGGGGGGGGGGGGGGGGGCGGGGGCGGGGGGGGGCGTGGTGGGCAGGGGAGAGTACAGAGCGAAGGTCCAGGGGTAGTTTTTTATGTGTTGCTTTGCCGATCGGCGCGGGCCCTCGCACCCCCCCATCTCCCCCCCCCATGGAGTAGGTCTTGACTGTTTGCGCCCGTTTCTAGCAGGTGGAGTCTCTCCCCCATGGGACGCACTGTTGCAAACAGTCGCGCTAAACAGAGGTCTGGAGCCAGACACCCCTCTCCCCCCTTTCCGCCCAATATCGACACGCCGAATAAAAACGCTCACCTATCTATGATTCGATATCTTTGGGCCTTCGATGTCATGTCAGGTCGTTGTGTCGTATCGTTCCCTCGAGCTGGCTAGGTAGTTGGGAGATGCCCAGCCTACATGTACCCACCCACACACAAGCACTCTGACCGGAGGCCGCGCGCGTGAGCAGCACGTGATGCCGAGCATTGAATGCGTGCGCTTGCAGGTGCCGCTGTCCCAGACTTACATTTGAGGTCGGTCGGAATTGGAGTTGGCCGAGTCACTCTTGATGAGGATGGCACTGAAGCCTAGGCTTCTCAAAACAACGTTTGCTAAACCGATGAGGCTTCGGCGGTACATCAACGAGGTCGTCATCGACCAGTTACCGCCGCTGACGAACCTCCACAGGACTTTGGAAGGAGCGGCAGATTTTCTAGCTGTGCTTGAGCTGTGGGCTGTAGAGAAGGAGCGACCGTATTTCGAAGTAGGGGTTTGGGGGGGAGAGCGGAGACGGAAGTAAAGAGCAAGGGGGACGGGAGTATTGGTGTTGGGTCGGAATTTCATTCTACCTCCAGGAGAAGGGGGAAACGGAAGTTGGCCACGAGGAGTGATGGTGGATAAGATTGGGGTCTTGCAGGCGAGGCACGCCTACAGACGGCGAACAGCCCCCGTTCTACAGTCTAGCTGCAATGCTGAAGTTTGGGCCATGGTTTGTTTCAGCACGGTCTCTGGTTTGCGGCCCCCCCCTTGGATGCCAGGCATGAGAACTCACTTGTGGCCGTCGACTGTGGGCAGAGAAGTTATCTGCAATCTCGCATCTTACGCGGTTTTCGTCACAGTGTCAGAGAAGAAGGGCTTTCATAACCAGCAGTTTCTGGAGCTTCAGGAACATCTGTATTTGCAGTCTGGTTCCTCCCAATGGTAATAGCACGGTGAATGTACTCCCCAGGGCACGACGAGACGCATCGAGGGAGGGGTGGAGGGTCAGCATCGTCTAACCAATCCTCGCCCCCACGTGGTCAGTGCAGTTTAGCCGTATCCCCCCGTCGAATCGCATCCCGTCGAAGCGCATCCCTCCCGTGATAGGCGTTGCTGGGGCCGGAAGCGCGTGCGATCGAACGTCTGGCTAATTGCCGAGGAGGAGGAGGGTGACCTTCGTCTGGCCAGCTCGGTGCTGTGCGCGGACCAGCGCAAGGCGTTCCAGCGGGTTTGCTGGGCGTGGCTCCGGAAAGTGCTCGCACGGTGGCGCCTTCCGGCCTGAGCCACCAACGGCTTTTTCAGTCTCGTGGTGGCCCGCAGCGTCCAGGCCCTCTGGGCGTGGCCCCCAGGGCGCCTCAGAAGGTACATCGGCATGGGCGGGACCGCTTCGCCACTCATTTGGTTTGCGACGACCCGATCATCGCGGGGCTGCAGCGCGCGCTCAGAGTGGCGGACCCTGCCTTCATGGACGACACCGCCTGCCTCGTGGCGGTGCCCCGCCAGGCCCCGCGGGTGTA